TTTTAGGGCTTGAGTCTCTCAGAAAACTGTCCCTTCATCACAAGCTGGTTACAGCGCCCTCTTCTGACAGGAAACAGAAAACAGCTACCTGTGTATGTTCACTTAGGTCTGTATGAATACTACAATTTTGATTGGAAAGAAATTACTATAAAAGCATGTTAAAAGGATATGGTTAAAGTATGAGGAGAAAGAAGGAACCCAATCTGTTCTAAACTCATTAATTTATACATGAACACAAAAATATTTGTGTTTATCTTAAATTTACGTTTAAAATTCTGCAGTTGGGAATGGGTGCGCATGGCATATATAATTCATTACAGCTTTTGGCCCTGATGATGCTTGAAGTCATTCCACCCAGCAAGCTCAGTTAAGAAATTATAACCGACCTCTTAATTTTTACCTTTTCTTTCCACTTGAAGATGGAGTCACTACAGGGATGGCTGGGCTGAGGTCTTTGCTCAAGTTCTGCTAACACAGATGACAGTTTGTAGGAGTTTGCTTGCAGAAGGTCTAGTTTCAAGTTGGTCTGTGGATATATCATTTGACCATATAAGTAAATTTCTAGAAAATGAGGCACAAGTGGGTGGGTAAAGGGATCTCAGGATAACTTCCAAAATGACAGAGGTCCAGAGAAGTGCACATTCAACTCATATGCAGATGGGCACAAAAAATGCTGAAGAAAATGGAAAAATGGACCCTTTAAGTAGTATAGAGGAAAGCCTCAGCTGTTGAGTGTGTCTTATTGTAGACTTTTGTATAAATCAGAAACCTTGACAGATTACTCAGCATCTTGTGGAAATGAACAGCTCTACTCAATTTTCTGCTGAGGAACGAGAATAAGTGTTGACTGCAGAAGGGAAGCTTTTGGGGGGCTTTGAAGAAAGGAAATTGAACCAAAGGCACTTAACATAGTGAATCGAACTGAAACTCTTATCAGCTGAATCAAATGAAAATGATGTGAGGCTGGTGGTGGTGGGGTTGCTATTGTTCCTTGAAGAGGTGAGGTCTTCTATTACCCAGAAAATTTGCCAGTAACACTTCCAGAAACTGGAAGCAACATTCTGGGGTACATGAATATAAAAATAAAGAGTGAAACTAAAGATACTCTCCTAGTCTCTCCCTGTTCTCAACTGGACCTTGAGCTAGAAACTTGCTAATGACTTTTGTCAGGCTGTGTTCAGTCAGGGTAAATCAGATCACAGAATCTCAACATTGGGAGGGGTCTCCTTATCCAGCCTTGTCCTCACTGCTGTCTCTTCCACAGCTCCAGCATGGGGATGCCCAACGCTGACCTCCCTGCCAGGGGCTCACAGCCATGGACTGAACACCTCCAGTGGATGGGGAAGGGCTCTAATCCTCAGACAATCCACTGTGTGGTGGGCAGGCTCCCCTAAGATGAAATCAAAAGCTCCATTTAGCTTCTACCCTGAGACCTAGTCTGCACTTGAGAGCGTCCTAGAGCAAGTCTCCCTACTCTTCCCTGTGGCACCCCTTCCTGTATCTGAAGACACTATGTGCTCTAAATACCCCCGGTTTCCCCAACAATTTCTCACAGCATTCTCGCTTCAGATATGGCACTTCAAGGACCAAGAGCCAATGAATTAGAAATAATTTAAGTGAAATAGTTTCCTCTTGCAAGAAACCTTTCCTGTGTAACACAGGCTCTACCACTGTCTGTAACCAGTTTCCCGCCACCAGATGCTGAGGTGTGTGACCAAGCTGCCTGGATGTTTGGCATCCTCTAGTTGAAGGCTCTTATTTGCTCCATCACTAGTTCATAAACACCGTAAATTCAGGGGTCAGATCCTCTCCATTTCGTATCCTCCACTGTGTGAATCAGGCCAGTTGTGTACCCAGATGATCCTAATACATGTTCTGTGCTGGCAACGTCAATGACAAAATTCTATGCAAGAACCCAAAGAAATAAACTTACAATGCCATCATAAAATGCTCCATAGGACTTTCTTTTGGTCAGTACCATTTGCAGCAATCAGCTAACTACAGATTTTGTGCTGTCACAGAAAACGTTCTACAGCTCGTCTTATGATTTCATCAAATTTGTAGCCGTATGTCGCTGCAAGGATGTTAGACCTGTTCCCAAGTGAACAGAATTTGAGCCTTTCTTTTCACAAGAAGTATCAGATTTATTTCTGCACTAGTACCTCCACTGAAGGAAAGCCTCTGGTGAAAAACAGATAAACTGCACCTGGCTGCATCTGTCTACTTTCACCAAAGAACTATAGAAACTGCCTGCTTAGACAGGCACCTAATCTCACAAGAGGGTCAGGAAAACTGGCCCAGCTTCCTGGATCTTTCAGAACATTGCTACCAACTTAATCTCTTCCTGAATTTTCTCAGTTTAACCCCAGTCAGTATCCTCTCACTCCAGTCAGACTAGAAACCTCACATCTTGCACACATAGGTCATTTTTATTCTTATATAAAATTCTCGGGCCTTTGCTAACTGCCCTTTTAGTGCGGCTCCCTCTGAAGAGGCGGCGGCGCCCAATGACCCCCACAGATGCCTGGGGGCCGCCGCTGTCCAGGCTTTCAGCACCTCTCCCCACCCTCAAACAGCTTTGGCCTCTAAAGTTTTCTCCCTTGTTTCCCTGGAAGCTCTCACCTCACACCCCAGACCTCCTTCTGTGCAGCCACATCTCTCCTTTCTCCTACTGTTCTCAGAAGATCCTGATGTTAGCTCAGGGACGAATGGAAACAGCATCTTAATTCCCAGGATGTCAGCTCTCCTCTGCGCACTGTGCCATAACTAATATTTCATCCTCACAAAAACCCTTGGAGGTAGGTTCCAATTTCCCCACTTTTAAGATGAGAAACTAAAGCTGTCCCAGGTCCCTATAAACGGCTGAGGCAGATCTAACTGCAGGCCTTTCTGAATGCAGACCCTGCATGTTCCGTTACTTCTGTCAACTGGGCTAAGGTACACGTAGTTTCCAGACCTTGACTGAATGGTTCTATTTGGGGAAATTCTATTTTAGGCACATTTCCCCCTCAGGAGGACACTAAAGAGCCAACATTTCTAAGTAGTTGGATTTTTCCCGAGTCCTCAAACCACCTGTCAAGGAGCTGACCGTACAAGCTCTCTGACTAGACTGTTCTGTCATGAGAAAGGAAAGGCAAACAGAGGTCAAATGGGCCAGAAAACAGGCATTCTAAAAATAGCTCCTTCATCGTTCAGCCTAGGATACTGCACTCCAGATATTTACCTCGTCCATTAAGGCTGCTGTGCTTTTTTGGTTCTCTGTGTCTGAAAAGGAGGAGTGGCTGGTGTAGGCTCTCAGCATCCGTTCCAGGCCTGTAAGTGAAATCGTGCTGTCACTCACGGCCCCTCCTGTTCTAATGGGACACAGGTGGGAGGAGGTCACACTGAGAGGGAACCTGAGCCCAGAAGTGATGACAGAGGAGCATTTCCAAACAGCTGGGGCTGTTTCTGTGTGTGGTTTACCCAGTTCTGCTGCGTGGGTGACCAGCACCTTCATTTAAGGAGATCTGAGAGATGCTACTGCTTCAGGAGACTTGAGTGTGATATTTTAAGATGAGCTTTGAATCCTCCTTGCCCACCCATTCCCTGGTGGATTCCTAACACTACGATGTTGAGCTCTGCTTTGCTGGTATTTACATCTCTAAGCATTTTGCTCTCTTGGATTTCCTATTGAGTACGACATTGCACTAGGTTGCTCCGGTCCACATACAATGAGCTCTACACATCAGCATCCTTAAGTGTGGAGTCGTTTTTCTTACCTGAAGCGCTTTAGAGCTGCTTCCCGTTCTAACACTCCTGACCTCTAAGTCTAGGATTTAATTTGAATGATTTTTCACATCATTTAGAAAGTTACTTTAAAAAAGAAACAAGTGGTGATCATTGTCTAATGTATAGGAACACTGAATCATTATGTTGTACACCTCAGACTAATGCAGTGTTGTAGGCCAATTATACTTCAATAAAAAATAAACTTAAAATTTTTTAAAAATTTAAATCACCTATTAACACCCCCAATAGAATAAAGTAATAAGGGGGGGAATAATAAGTAAAATAAATAAATAGATAAATAACAAGAAAATAAAAAGCCTTGTAGGAGTTCTTCTATGTTTTCAACCAATGAATTGTCCCTCATACCAGCCAATTTCAAGAACACAGTAAAATGCTACATTTCTGGAAATGGCGGTATAGGACTTACACAGCTCTCACAGGTAGACCAAAATGTCATTTTTGATTTTTGGTTTTTTTGCTCTTTCTTTTATATTTTTCTTTATTCACACAAATTAGGTTTGACATTTGTCCCTTTAAATGAGATGATCCCTGCACTAGTCAGCAAAAGCAGAACCCCCTAACCCTGAACGGAACCTCCAAATAGAATACTTTGCCTTCCCAGGCCAAAGAGGTAATTACACACCTTCCCGGTCTCTCGAGGCCTTTTCAATGTCTTTTTGCAATCTCAGCAGTTTTGATTTTATTGAAGACTCTTGTCGCTCTTTACTCATTGCATTTTTAGGATCTTCTTCCTTTAGGAAAAAAAGAAAAAAAGGACGTTTAACAGTTTAAAGGGGAAAAAGTAAGGTTGCTACTCCTAATTGCACTGAGACTTTCACTAAGAGTATTTAATTTTAACTTGATAGAAGAAAACAGTAAAAAAAAAAAATAAAGCAGGATCACCTATGTTTTTATACAGACTGTTCTACCTTATCTAGACCTGCTTAATAAGAAAACATCTCATTCACAATTTTAAGTATACAGCTGAGCACTTTCTTTAATAGAAAAAAAATATTCTTGGAGGAAGAATGTTACTATAGCTATTTCATAGTTTTTTTGTCTTTTGGTTTTTTATTTTTTTAAATACAGGCACTGGGGATTGAATCCAGGACCTCATGCATGCTAAGCACGCACTCTACCACTGAGCTATACCCACCCTCCAATTTCATAGTTTTTTGATAAACAGATGTTTGTTGGATACTTTTTGCTCCTTATTTGTCTTTATTCAGGTTAGAGTCCTTTAATGTCCAAGTGCAGTATCATGTGTGTGCCTCGACCTAGGACTGCCTCAGGAATGGAACAAAGGTTGATTGTGTCTGTGCTGGCTGGCTCTTGGGAACATGTGAGCTGAAATGTATGTGCTCTTCCTAGAACAGGTTTATAATTTAGATAGACTTGAGGTGTAACATTAAGAGATCTAGCAATTTGAGGTCATGTTCCTTCATGAATGGTGCAGACAGGAGTGCCTGGCTCACCAGGAACAGGAGGCTAGACAGACTAGGACTTTTAAGTCAAGGGGAAAAAGGGCAAAGGGTAGTCTTTGCAGGATAAATTGCAGAAGCAAAGGATGGGGGAAGGGCTGTGTGAAATGTACTGGGAACAAGAAATAGACTGGTTGCTTGAGCAAACATAGTGGAAGAAAAGATTGTCCCAGTAATGCAGGTCAGATTTGCAGGCTGAAGTCGGGATTTTATCACGTAGGCCATGAGAACTATTAACGATTTCATAGCTTTCAGATATATTATTTCCATAGTTGAAAGGGGGGAAAAGAAAGGATGTTAGCACTAGATACAAGTCAAAGAGCAAATGTCCTACAGTGGTATGCAACTTAAAATGATTAAAACCTTTATGGGCAAAAGAAAAAGGACGTTAGGGTCAGGTGGGGAAGTAGCTGAACATGAGTGTGGTAAATGGACAGAGACTTGTGGAGAAAGAGGGAAAATGACTGAAGATGGAGGTGGAGGAGTCAGGACTTTCTGAAAAGGAGAAAAAATAGGATCTTGGGGGGAGGGTATAGCTCAAGTGGTAGAGGGCGTGCTTAGCATGCACAAGGTCCTGGGTTCAACCCCAGCACCTCCTCTGAAAATAAGTAAATAAACTTAATTACCCCCTCCAAAAAAAGAAACCAAAAATTAAAAAAAAAATCTTGAAAAAAAATAGGATCTTGAATATTGGTGGAGAGATTAGCTTTAAATTGATTGTCCTGAAGAAAGGGAAGTGTGAAGATTTAGAGCAAAGAGAATAACCTTTATAAAAATATAATATATAATGAAAATATTTTATATACTGTGTATTCTATATTATAAAATTTTTCTTTATTACATGTGATTCTCGTAACTCTACAAGATTGGTTTGATTTTCCCTGTTTTACCTGTGACACCTAGAGAAATAAATGAAGGCCCAAGACAAAACAGCTAGTGGGTAATTGCTCCTGAAACCTAACTCCCATGAAACCCAGTTCTGCACCAGAGCCCACTCCTTCACGTGTCTGCTGAGGCTGAGGCCCAAGTTCACTTTACCCCCACAGGTGAGCTCTGAGTCAACTGCAAGGATGCTTCGCTCCAACCCTTAGTCCTCCTTGCGGGAGGAACACACATCACAATCTGACGCCCATACCAGTCCACGACCTCACTTGGTTTCTCTGGGGAAGTCTGTTTGCAAATATATTTCTTGTGATAGGTCACTACTGGATCAACCTGAGATAGAGTCAGTCAGTGCTGTCATTAACTTTCTTAAATTTGTCTTTCTCTTCCAAAGATTTGTCAGGAAGAAGATTAATACCACAGGAGGCATTTAATTTCCAGATACAATCTTTTGAACGTGGTCTTTAGAGTAACCTTACAAATATTTTTCCCACTCGTCACCAGCCCTCTAGTATTTACACTCAGATTGTTATTCTTACCCATAGACCATGTAAATTTCGTAGCACTCAATAAATGCCAGTCTACACTGATTGCCAGTAACTATAGTCAGATTTTGGAGGTGTTTTGCTTTAAGGATATTAAGACAATCCTATTCACCCATTTGGAAAGACAGTCCTTTCTCCTAGACAGCATATACGTAGCTATCTCTGGTGCACTGAAATTTCAGACACCAAAACTGCCCACAAGCACGTTAAATAAAGATAAATCATCATGGCTGCCTCTCTACATTTCAGTAGGAGTTAGTCAAATTTTCAAGGAGAGGGACCCTTATTGTACTGACAGGTTAGCTGATAGAGGCTTTATGTATTTATTTATTTTACAAGAAAGTAACATATATTTAACTGTACATTTTCCCATCTCAGGGATCACCTACACTATTTGGATGAAAAAAAGAAAAAGAAAAGTACTTTTCCCATGTAATCAAATCTCTCTTTCCTCTTCCATCTCTACCTTTGTTTCTGCTTTGAACAGACATTGCTGTTGCTAATTTGCTTTGCCTTTGCCAGGATAGGGAAAAAAGATTCAATTAAAAACCAGTTGGCCATTTAATGCTGTTTAGGGTTAGGGAGGGGGAAGCCAGTCAGGATTCATTGCTGTGCCCAGATCTCTCATCTCTTGTTCCCTGAGTGCGGGTCCTGGGATGCGGACTCTGGCTACACATTTACGCTTACAGGAGGACATGACCAGGGGTTTAGTTTTATACACAGAGAGGAATGAGCCCCCAGACTAGACCTTGGGAGTCTGAATGAAATACAGCAGAGAGCCCAGGGAACAGCAATCAGGAATTCTTCCTGCAGATTTTGGTAACTAATGACCAGCTCCTAGAACACTACAGTTAAGACTAACACCACCAGAGCAGAGGACAATCTGAAGCATGACCTAATCCAAGAAGACCAAGAATTTACCCCAGGATAGCAAAGAGGCAGGATGCCCGGGCTCTGACCAGGGACACTGATCAGTTTTTAGCAAGGAAGGTCATGTGATAGTTGAATCACCCAAATGCTCTCAAAATAAGCCCCTGAGATGGGCCATTACTTTATGGCAAAAGAGGCAAGAATATACAATGGGGAAAGGACAGCTTCTTTAGTAAACAGTGCTGGGAAAACTGGACAGCTACACGCAAAAGAATCAGACTGGACTACTTCGACTCACCGTACCCCAAAATTAACTGAAAATGGATTTTAAAAATGTTAAGACCTGAAACCATAAAACTTCTAGAAGAAAACACAGGCAGTACCCTCTTTGACACTGGTCCTAGCAATATTTTGGGGAGGGATGTCTCCTCAGGCAAGAGAAACAAAAGCAAAAATAACTGCGACTACTTTAAACTAAAAAGCTTTTGCACACCAGAGGAAACTTCAGCAAAACAAGGCGGCTATCTACTGAATGGGAGAAAATATTTGCAAATGATTTAACTGGCAAGGGGTTAATATCCAAAATATACGAAGAACTCATTACAACCTGACATCGAAAAACCAAACAACTCAATTAAAAAAAATGGGCATTTTCCCAAAAAAGACATACAGATGGCCAACAGGCACATGAAAAGATGCTCAACATCACTAATCATCAGGGAAATGCAAATCAAAACCACAATGAGGTACACCTCACACATGTTGAATGGCTATTATCAAAAAGACAACAAATAACAAGTGTTGATGAGGATGTGGAGAAAAGGGAAAACCTGTTCACTGTTGGTAGGAACTACCATACAATCCAGCAGTTCCACTCCTGGGTATTTATCTGACGAAAACAAAAACTCTAATTTGAAAAGATACATGCATCCCTATGTGCACTGCAGCATGACTTCCATTAGCCAAGATAATGGAAGCAACCTAAGTGGCCGTTAATAGATGAATGGATGAAGATTTGTTTTATATATATAGTTAAATATATAAAAACTATATATAATTATGTATAAAACAGCCACAAAAAAGAATGAAATCTTGCCACTTGTGACAACATGGATGGACCCAGAAGGTATTATGCTAAGTGAAATAAGCCAGACAGAGAAAGACAAATAATGTATGATTTCACTTACAATGGAATCTAAAAACCAAAACCAATAAACAAACATAACTAAACAGAAACACAGATATGGAGAACAAACAGGTGGTTGATAGGGGAGAGGGTGAGAGAGGAAAAAACAGATGAGGGAGATTAAAAGCTACAAACTTTCCATTAAAAAATAAATGAATCACAGGTATAAAATGTACAGTGTGGGGACTATTAGTCAATTATAATTTAGTATCTTCGTATGGTGACAGATGACAAGATCTATCATGGTGACCATTTTGAAATGTATAGAAATACTGAATCACTGCGTTGTGTGTCAGGAACTAACATCATGTTGTAGGTCAACTGTACTTCACAAACAAACTCATAGAAACAGAGATGAGCTTTGTGGTTCCCAGAGGTGGGGCTGGGGGTGAGAAGGAGTTGGATGAAAGTGACCAGAAGGTATAACTTCCAGTGACAAGATCAGTAAGTACTAGGGATGCGATGTACAGCATGACAAACGCAATTAACACTGCTGTATGTTACATATGAAAGTTGGTAAGACAGTAGGTCACATCACAAAGGTTTTTTCCTTTTTTAATGTTCTGCCTATGTGAGGTGATGGATGGTCACTATACTTATTGTGGTAGTCATTTCCTGACGTATGTAAGTCAGATCATTATGCTGTACACCTTAAACTTGGTGCCATATGTCCACTATCTCTCAACAAAACTGGAAGGGAAAAAAAAACTCTAGGCCTCTGTAATTCGGTCATAGTTTTTGAAAGGCAAGGGCCACGAAGAATGATGATAATGATTGGCACCTCCCAAGACTCATGCCTCTGTGTAATCCCCTCCCCTTGAGTGTGGACTGCACTTACTGACTTGCTTGTAACAAGTAGAACATGATGAGGTATCACTTCTGACATTAGTTTATAGAAGACTAAGCTTCCATCTTGGGCTCTCTGGCTGCTTCTCTCCAGGATCACTAGTTCTGGGGGAGCAGGTGATACACTGTGAGCTCTCAGTACGTGGAGACCCCCCAACATGGCAACGGTCAGCGAGCACCAGAGGACTGCCGTCAGTCAGTGAGTGAGCTTAGAAGCTAGTGGTCTCCAGTTGAGCCTTTAGATGTCTGGCAGTCCTGGCTGACACCTTGATTCCAGCCTTGTGAGGGCCTCAGGCACCCAGCTAAGCCACACCTGGATCCCTGACCCACAGAAACTGAGACAATAAGTGTTTGTTTTAAGTGGTTAAGTTTGGAGGTAAACTGTTAGGAAGCCACGGATAACCAGTATGATACAGTGATTTTTTACAGAGCGTGAAGATTCAGTCAAAAACCCTGTTTGACTTTCTTCCCTGGCTAGGAATACCAAAGACATGTTTTCATTGCCTAGTTTGTAAACCACAGTTTTAAAATTTAAATGGACTATGAAAACGTCAGTTTTTTCGTGTAGAAAACAAAATGTTTCCTTTACGATTGCTCTCAACTTTTTCCAAAATGAATCCCTCCATCTCTGACTAAGGTTCCACATTAATGAAACTTCCTTCCATCCCATACTTACAAAGTAATCAGTTAATAGGAACTCAGATTTATTTTCTGCAGATGAAATTGCAGTTTTCTCGATGAGAGCCTGGATGTCTTTTTCAACATCGATCTTGCTGATGGCGCAGTGAATCTGCGTGTGGCACTGCAATGCCGAGGGAAACAACACGGTTGCAGAAGACACGTTTCCTGCCAGTTCTTACCTTGCATCCCAGAGATGGAGAGTTCTTTACTACTCACTGTGGTCAGGGTTTGGCCAAAACCAGAAATATGTTGGGAGTACTGGTTTAAGTTATTGCATAAGAGTTGAATTCTTTCCTTCTCCAGCTCCAGGATGCTCTGAAAAGGATGGAAAATAAGATCGGTCAGTTGTTACACAAAACTGAAGTCACCCACCAAGCACTCATACACCGAAGAAAGTCTGAGAGCACGGCTCTGTGCCTCTTGATCACGTCATGTCCAAACCACGGAGGGGGCAGATTCCCAGGACAGGAATGTGATTTGGTGTCTGTTCCATTCATTCTCCATTAGGACTGATTTAACTCACACACTTTCCCCGGGCTTTTCTGGGCCCACAGGCAAGTAGGTGGAAGCCATAGGTTACGCAACATTCACAAAGAGGGAGAAAGGAATCATTTGAAAAGCGTCTGTGGGTTCTAGAAAAAAGAACGGCACCCAGTAAAACCAACATCTGTATCTTGGAAATGCAGTCAGACACTAAATATTTCTACACTTGTCTGCAGCGCACTGCTGCTCTCTGCAGGGACAACGGTGATGAGATGCTAATTTTCTGCTTAAGGAAACTATCTGACAAGAGCAGAACCTTAACATCTGGTCAGTTCCTAATCCTGGCCTAAAATCTGGCCTAGGGTCAGAGACCGTTCTTTGAACAGAGCCTCCCCATTTTGCGTGGAATGATGAAAATTCCACTCTTGGAATTTTACAGCTCTTAGCTAAAATAAAGTAAGGGAAGTCACATTTGCCTTGTTAACCATTAACATTTTAGAAAAAATTAGTTATTTGACTCTTGCCACTCACTAGTTCTGAAGGAATGCGGAGGAGTTCAGCAATGAGGCACTGGCCCGAGAAGGCTGGGCCAAGGGGAAACGCGGTGGGGATTCCTAGGCCATGGGGGATGAGGGGGGGCAGCAGGAGGCTGCTGGGTATGTGCCCGCACTGTGGGCTTTGACTGAGGGGTCAAGTGTCCAAGACAACGTGCCTCATCCCGTTTCTGTAGGACAAGGCCTGGGCTCTCCCCCTTTCCCCAGAGGCCAGTTGGTTCCTCTCACACCAGCCATGCCACACAGCGAAGAGCATTTAGCAACAGTCTTTCATAAGGAAGAAAGCCATCTTGGGCAAGTTGGTGGGTACATTATCAGGGAAGAAATAAGGGAGGACTCCACCTCAAGGCCTTAGGTAGGGGGACATCACCAAGATCATTGGCTTCTCCCATCCACCTCTCCAGACGCAACTGCAGGGCCACTGGCTGGGTCCAGCATGGTGCTCCTCTCTACCCCAGGCGTGGACTGCATTCACATTCTGTTACTTAATCTATGGTGGATAGTCATTCGACGTTTTAAAAATTTGTGTTAGGGTGGGAAGGGATAGACTGGAATTTCAAAATTGTAGAATAGATAAACAAGATTATAGTGTGTAGCACAGGGAAATATACACAAAGCGTTATGGTAGCTCACAGAGAAAAAAAAGTGACAATGAGTGTGTGTATGTCCATGTATGACTGAAAAATTGTGCTGAACACTGGAATTTGACACAACATTGTAAAATGATTATAAATCAATAAAAAATGTTAAAAAAATACAATGTCAAATGTGTGAGGAAATTATAACATACCATTCAATAAATGATACTGGGAAAAAAAATTTGTATTAAAAATGGTTAAAATGGTCAACTTTAGCATGAGGGTATAGCTTCAGTGGTAGAGTGTGTGCTTAGCATGCACGAGGTCCTCGGTCCAATCCCCAGGACCGACTTTAAAACTAAATAAACTTAATTCCTCCCCCCACCAAAAAAAAAGGTTAAGTGTATAGTTCAGTGTCAAGTACATTCACATCATTGTGCAGCCATCACCATGGTTCACATCTGGTACTCTTCATCTTGCAAAACTGAAACCCTGCACCCATTGAACAGGAACCCCCACACTTCCCTTCCCTGCAACACCCTTGTCCTCCACCATTCTATTTTCTGTCTTTGATGAATTTGATTACTCTAGGTATCTCATATAAAAGGAATCATACAATATCTGTCCTTTTGTGTCTGGTTTATTTCACTTAGCATAAAGTCTTTAAGATTCATCCATGTTGCAGCCTGTGTCAGAATTTCCCTCCTTTTAAGGCTAAATAATACTCCATTGTCTGGACATACCACACATGGTTTACCAGTATCTAGCCATTTTAACACTGCTGTTAAATGCAAGTTGTAAAAGGCTGGCAGTATCTGTGAACATCTATGTCAGTCACATGCAAATTATGATTCCATGCCCAGTGTCCTGACGTTTGAATCAGGAAGCCTGGAGCTCTGCTCCCCCATGGCCACCGCTTTGTCTAGTCAAAAGCTGCATAATTTTTTTTAAGTCAATGAGAATGAAATGCCTTTGTTTCTGCTGTTGGTCTCCTGAGTTGCTCTCCAAAATCGCAGGTACCAGCCATCTGAAGGAGCCCTCTGTCTCCTAGGTAACAGGATTAAAGACGCAGAAGAGTAGTTGCCTAGTAAATGCAACGCTTCAAAGGGCAAAGCTGTTAACCTCCTCTGATAGATCAAACAAATTCTGCTCAGTGGCTTGGACCTAAAGTGGGACAATCTTCAAAAAGAAAGTCTTTACAACGTAGAAAGATCTAGAAAGCAGTTGTTCTAGTTTAGCACCACGAGCAAAGGACAGGACAGAAAACAAAAGCCAGGTTTGGGGAATACATTGCATCCCCCCGGTCCCCCTGCTAGGCAGCTATTTCTTCAATGTGACAAGTGCTAAGCCACTGGCATCCAACTGAGATTAGAATAATCAGTGGCCCCTGGTGGCGATGATAGTGTTTAACAGATTTTAATTACATTTCAGGGAAATCATTAAGATGATCTATGTTTGCTCATGAAAAGAGGCTGAGATAAATTCCACTGTGCAAAGGAGAAATCCATATCTCATTTAATGAATTATTGCTTTCCATTATCGTGTTCTTTTGGTATAAAGTAGGTCGTAGAGAAGCAAGATACTCTGGACGTCCTCAAATCGTCCTCCCGCGCTTTCACCATAGCACGTTGAGGGTCAAACAGTCATCAAGGAAGAGCAGGTGGAGAGCCTGTCTGGGGCCCAGCATCACGGTAATTCACACTCCTCATTCATACTTTTCAGTTCTTACCGTCCAGACCTTCTGGTTTGTACCACTGGAGAGCTTGGAGGGACTTCATTTTCATCCAAATCGTTTTCATAAAACTGGTCAAATTTCTTGCTCTTCCCAGAGCAAGAACTCCCAAACTTTAGAATGCCTAACCATTACCTAGACCGCTTCCTAAAATCATTCCAAAGTTCTGACGCACCCCATCTAGGGAGGCGCTCAGGAATCTGAATTTTAACAAACACCCTAGCTGCTCTGAGACATTATCCCAGGGCCGTAATGGGCCACAAGAAAATAAATTTTAAAACCATTTATAATTCTTCCACCCAGAGATAACCACTGTCAACATTTTGATGTATTTTAGTCTATCGAGGTATATATGTATCTTTCTAGTTATCTATCAAATTATTCAAATTGGTATCCTGCTTTTTCACTTAATATTACACATACGCAATTTCCAATGCCATTAGTCACCAAAACATCATTTTAATTAACAGACCCTTGTGAAGGATTGCTTACAGTGGACTGATTAATTTAACATCCTCGTAATGTTGGCCATTTGAATTGCTTCTTCCTTTCACTTATAATGTATTCTAAACAGAAATCTGTGTTTGGTTTTTCAGCTACTTCCTCAAGATGGATTTATGGAAAGGAAAGTAGGTTTTCCACTGAGGTTCTAGGAGAGAATTAAACTCTAATGTCCAAAGGCATCTATTATCTGAAGTGAGTTTGCATCAAGAGTGGTTATTAGTCACTATCATCCTTGGGGAACTGAAAACACAGTCACTCAAATTATTTTCTGTGTTCCACGGTTCTACCAGGAGCTCTGTTTCCCTCATCCTACGCTCACAATATAAACTCAGGGTAGCTTGTGGTATGAGTTTTAAAAATGCTTTCACGTACATACAGTGTCTACACGGTGCATTTATTTTCTTCAACATCATGCTTGTGAGGTTCACGTTTAAATAGTTTTAATTCAGTTTTTATTGCTAGGTATTAGTCCACTTTCTAAATCAGACCCAATTTTAAGAGTGATTACTCTTTTGATAGGTATGGAGATGGTGTACAATTTTTCTTCTCACCATGCAACCATAAACAATTCTGCAATCTACATGCTTATACGTAACCCATGGTAGACAGATGTAAATTTTTCTTTAGGATAGATGCCTAAAAGGGACGCACATTTCAGTTTTACTAAATACCATCCTGCTACTCTCACTAGAGGGGGACAGGAATTCTTATTTTCCAACAATTCTTGTTTGGCAACACTGGATACTGTCACTTTTAAACTTTTGCCAAATGATTCAATATCTCTTCATAAGTTTCCTGGTTATTTTGATTTTCCTTTTTGGGATTTGCTTATTCACACCTTTTGATTTTTTTTGAGTGATTTGCCACAGTTCTTTATATATATCTTCTTTCCTACTAAACTGTGCACATGCCAAGAGTTGAGATGGTATTTTATTCAATGCTGTATATTATCAGTGCCCAACACAACGTCTGGCATACAAATAAATCCACAAGTAATTATGGTATGTTATCGACTCTAAAGGCCTAAAACTCATTTCTGAGCACCTAACACTTAAGCCTTAATTTCCATTTGACTTTGACGGCACTTTTTGAAGTTAGCTGGAGCTACTGTGTCCACTGAGAAGCAGGAGCAGAAATTTGGCCAATGATAATCAGTATTCACTGGTTACTGTGTCCATGGAGAAACTGAAATAATGAGCATGAACAAGCTGTGTCTAAAGTCACCTGTTACAGGAGTGAGGGTTATAGCTAAGGACAGATCATCAGGTCATACAAACTGTAAATCTGACCTCCCTTTTCAAGGCCCCACAAAACCCCGTAGAAGAAAAAATGTGAATGCATAACTTACCTGGAAGCAGTTCTCCAGTGTGTTCTCCCATTTCAGTCTAGTAGAGCAGCTGGCCACATTCTTTTGGTAGTAATTTTCATCTTCTTTTGCCAACTTCTCAGTTGATTTTTTCAGTTTACTGAGGAGCTAAAGAGAAACGTCAGGGTCACATATTCATGAACACATTTTTGAGAGCCTGATGATAAGTTCCCCGTCTCCCGGCTAAAGTCACAAACAGAAACGGTGGGCGACAAAATCAAAGCCCTTTCTCAGAAAACAGGGATGTCAAGAGCTGAAAGGGAGCCCAAGGGCCTTTCAGCAGGACTCCTTCCGGTTCTCACAGAAGGAAACCGAGGCCCCAACCTAGGACACGGTGTGCCTCTTTCATCAGGCCACGGAGGAAGCCCAGCGGCAGGCAAGGAGAAGCAGGCACAGCTTGGGGCTGGGACCTGCCAGTGATTCCTGTGCTCTCATTGGGTAAATCCTTCAGGCCTTGGCATTTCTTGCCCGGATGGGTAGAGTTGTGCAATCAGGTAATTTCTGGAACTAGCATCGGGCCTGGCTACCCTCCTCTCCAGCACCCTCCCTTCACAATATGCCCTCTGCAGTCTAAGTCTGGAATCAGACTTCCGGATGAGAGTCCTGGTCCTGCCTGCAGGTGAGCTACTTAACCTTATTTAGCCCTTCATTAGCCACGGTTTTCTCATCTCTGCGGTGGGAACATTGATGCCCCCACTTCACTGTGTCGCTTGGAGGGTTCAAGCAGGTGACGCAGGTCAGGCACGCGGCCCATTGCCCGATGTTTAGGGTCGCCCTCAAAGACTCTTGAGTATTATCGTTACAGTGAGGAGCCTGAGGTACACGCCATCGTTCCAGTCGAGCTATGAACGGCTTGACAGACGCTTGCCTTTCATCCTGCTCCCTGATGATCTGCTCCTTCACAAAGAGCCCCCTCTTGCCAGTCACCAAAATTGGCCATTCTGAGTGTGAAAATCAGTAATGCAAAACCCTCTGACCAGGGTGGCTGAAAGGGATTCTCAAAATGCTCAGACACATCATTTCACATCTTTGAGGAAGGAAGTGATTGTACTACGTAAACGATTCTTGGACTTTAATTAAAGTCTAGGAATGACCTGGGGTTCTTGGAAAACTGCACATTTTCAGGGTCCCACAAGTAGCAGTACTGACTCAGTAGTTCTGCAGCGGGATTAGGAAATCTTAACTTTCACCACCCTCTCAGATGATTCTGACACAAGTAGTCCTCAGACCACAGTTCAAGAAGCATCAAAGATCCCTCTAATTTAAGGGGTTTAGGAGTTTCAAGGACAGAGACAAAAGCTTTTAAGAATGGCCCTGTTTATGTTTAAGGACGTTTTGAATAATGTTTCTGTAATGAAGAACATTCATCCAAAATGCTGAATATTAACACCACTCACTTGATGATTCCAACTGAAATGCTGGCCATTCAGCAGTCCCTTGGCTCCAATGTATGACTGACATGGGACACAGTTGGCTTTGTACATCAAGTGTAAGGAGACACATTTATCTATGGAGACCTGAGCTTGTCAATTTCAACCTGGTAACAGTAAAGGAAAGGGCTGAATGTGGACCATGGCTCTACTGGGCTAAGTCACTGTCCTTAGATTCTCACTGAGAGCGCTCAGGCCCCAGCAATGAGAACGGAGTCACTTTGGAGATGACCATGCACATTCATCAGCCTACACTATACAACTACTGACCAGAAGTTTCTGCTCAGCAAATTTACAGCAAAGAACCCCAAATAGATACAAATAGAATGTAGAGTCAATCTTAAGGAACTTCTCAGAAATATTTACTAAAATTTGTCAAAGATTAAATACTTTTTCTTTTCTTTTCTTTCTCTTGGAACAAAGATTCATTCATTTATCACTCATCACAACATTTCTTGGGCACACACTCTCTCTCATGTACTAGGCTCACAGGAACTAGACAGGCTCCCTCACGATCCTGTGTGATAGGTCCCCAGATGGTGGTATTTAGGCACCACAAAGTGGATGCTCACCGAAATGATCCTTGTGTGAATACACCTGAAATGAAAGTAGGAATTGCTGAGGCAAAATAGGAAAAAAAAAATTTGGTGAGGTTGGAGCTCAAAGTTTGAGAGAGAACAGCAAGCAAAAATGCTGTCAAGTTAGGCAGAGGCCAAGGCAGGGAGGGTCTTCGGGGCTCCATAAAGGAGCTCACTGGGAAGCCTCTGAAGGCTTTTTGAAGGAGGATGATGTGCTCAGATTCGAGTTTCAGCAAAGTCAGCTTGGCGTGTATGTGGGGAACAGATGAGGAGAGACAACACTGAAAGCCAAGACACCAATTTGTCAGTTAGAGTACCCGAAGCGGTGAGGATGGTGGCCGGGGAGAGAGTAGTAGGGACAGTGGAGACAGATGTAAGTAGAGACATTCAAAAAGTATTTGCTTTAGAAGTTAGAATCTGGAGGATAGGGTGAATGGTTTTATTTAAAGATACAAAAACCAGGAATAAAGAGTACTTGGGGCAGAGAGAAGTAGTGGTTCCGATTTTGGATACTGAGTACTTGTTATGCATCGAGTACCTGCTATTGAGAGTTCTGTGCTGGACACTGGAGATACAAGCTGAATAAAACAGAATGAAGCCCGGGAGAGAAATGGTCAGGCTCAGCAGTGCATAAAGCTCAGGCAGAACATGGGAAGTCCATCAAGGCGTTTAAGAAAAAAACTGACAGAAAGGAAAACCAAGAGAGTAAGATGCTGTTAAGAAAATGTTTTTAGAAGGGGACAGTCAACGATGCTTAATGCTTTCAAGGAGTTAAATCAAGTCAGAACTGGGAAGCACCCAGTGGCTTTGGCAATCAGTGCAACATCGTTTTCGATGGCAAGAACCTGCCAGCAGAACAGTAGGGGAGGCTCGGCTGGGCGGTTTGAGGAGTGAACAGGAGATGAGGACGTGGAGACAGAGCACAGATAACTCTTTCAGTAAATCTTATTGTAAAAAGGAGACATGAGAATATCTAGAGAACAGGAACAGGGCCACGGAGGGTGTCTCCCTGCTCTCCCAAGACAGAGGGACTTGAGAAGGCTGATGGGAAGCATATAATAGAGGGTACGTCCAAGATCCTGGATAGGGGGACTCATCAAGGGAAGAGTCTCTGAGAGGAGTATGGGGTGGGAATCGGAACACAGGATGAAGAACTGGCCGGTCTCGCTGCACGTATGACTTCAGCAGGCAGGTGGCTGTGCTGACTTCTGTTTATCCTGTGAGGCTGGAGGCAAGATAGTCTGCTGAGAGTGGGTGGTGAGGAGGGAGGTGCCAGAAGAAAGGAGATGCAGATCAGCTTCTGGTAAGAACCAGGACCATCGAGCAGGAAGACCAGAAAGACCGCTGAGTGGCACCGGACCAGCTCGGCTGGGGTTGGAGATCGAGGGCACTTCTATGTGAGATGCAAAAATGAATGCTGCCTTAGGTGTTTAGCCTTAGGACTGAAAAAAGAAAGCTACCAGATGAAGTGATGAGGATGGTAGGGGTCTGTGATGTAACAACAGCCGGGGGCTGTGGTTAGCGGGACCAGCTGGAGGAGGGTAGGGAAAGATCACGGACTTCCACCTCCCAGGGAAGCTGCTAATGAGGGAAGGAAGAGGAAATTCACCACGTAGCTGCCCAGGCTTTTTCATTTGTTGTTGCTCGACATCAATAAAGAATAGCTTCTAATGAGGGCTCCAAGCACTTCCAACGAGGTCCTGGAGCTTAGCGTTTTAACATCCTGTGGTTTTTTTTCTCCTCCTCGGAAGCTGTCTCATTATTCACACTTGTTATGATCACTTCAAACAGTGAAGATTGACATAAGAACTTTGTAAAATCCTGCTAACAGTGAATTTAAGTTATTCAATTAATTGTTTCCTCAGATTAAATAATCGCGTTACTTGCAATGACAATTTTCTTTTAAGAGTGTTTTGGGTTGCAGTCAGGCTGCCTGCATTTCCTTAGGGGAACTCCACCTTTGGGGGAAGACATTGAGAGGATATTGACTATAGCAAAGGTTTCCAATCCGGGGCTTACACCAGAAGAGGTGTGCAAGATAATCGACTGGGATGCAGGCAGAAAGTATTTAATTTTCTGCCTACACTCCCAGATTATTTATGCTCATTTTTGCCTAAAAAAGTGCTCGAGTTTACTCTTATTCAATATATGAGTTCATACTGGTGTCTGCACATGGGCAGCTGAGGATTCTGCGGTGTCCCGGAGGAAGAGTGGGAACTTTGCAACACGAGACGCTGATGTGGGTCCTCACAGATGTCTTCACTCTCAGCATCCTTGGACATGTGCCCACTGGTAGGAGTCTGGGTCACACAGATTTACAGATTATCTAGCTTTAATTGGGTTAATACACACAAAACTAACACCTGCCTTAAAGAGATTTCTGCTAAGAAGCTGTAGATGGACGTTAATACTAACAAGGCAAGCACATGAAAGCCGCAGGAAAACGTCAGAGCTGACTCTTTCTCAGGCTCTCAATTACGGGAGCGTCATCATCCACGTGAAAGGCAAAACCTGGCGTGAGCTAGTGAGAGCTGACAAGTTGCCCCCCAAATTTTACATTATCAAGAGGGCTATTAGAAATATGAATTCGTGTTTACTATGGTTAAGGCTGAACCCTGCCCCAAGCACGTATTTTGACTGGATGTGTCGCTAACGTAATGACCATATGAAGACATCACGATTAGCTAATCACTTACAACATTGTTTCATTTTTATCTCATCCTTCAAACATTTCTACTTAATGTTTTATAATGTTCATAACATTAGTATAACATATAAGGCATTAGCTATAATAGACAATATAGGTAAAGTACATCAAATAGTATGTTATGCGTATGTACTTATTTATTTGGGATAAATATACAGGATAGGTATATTATGTTACGTTATGTTATGTGTATACATTTTTAACTTACTTGGGGTGTGAGCTGAGAGATGTTTAATAGGGTTCCATATCCAAAAAATTGGACACCATTGGTTTAATTTGCCATCTGTCAATGATACTTTCAAAACTATAGGCAGACCAGGAATGATTTAGGATCCCATCTCACTCTGCTACAGCACAGCTCTGCAGAGACCCCACACAGAGCAGCAATCAGCCCGCTCCCTGGGCCTACAGCTGAGGGTGGGAAGCCCGGGACAGGAAGCCCACCCACCCTAAGCCACATGCCCTCAGCGGCCATGAGAGGTCACCTGCTGCTTCTCCTTCTCAGTCGTAGTTTGCCTGGAGCGTTCTACATGCTGGAAAAGTGCTTCGTGCTTCTTGGTACTAACCATCAATTTCTTCTTGGCCTAGAGCAAACACATACCAAAAAACAAAAAAGATCAGAAACTGATACCAAGAGAAAAACTCTTCTGCTCTGAAGTCACGTTCATGCTCTGGCTTGAATGAAATGTGTGTTTTGAGTTCTTCATTTTTTGCCCTCACCCCAAAATCTGCCTAAAATATCACAGTGGCTACATTTTGCCCTGAGAACCATTGTATATTTTTTCATTACACTGAGTTCATTCAAGAGGGTTATACATCTTGTAAATCACCAAAGGCCAGCAAGCCTCAAAAACATTGCTCTAGCCAGCATCATGGGAGGGAACGGCTTAACCGCATACAAAAAACATCCCAACAGACATGGAAGGCTGCTGGCATCCTCCTCTTAAATCAACATGGGCCACAACTAAGGTCATTTTAAGATGCTCTCTTAAAACTTAGAGCAAAAGGGAAATTTTGCTCCCTGATGTTCAGGCTTGAGAGCCAGGCACCTGCCTGGTATCTTGTGAGATGCCCTGTGCTTGTGGTGGGGAAGGTGGAGGGAGATGGGAAGGAAGAAGCATCTGAAGTCCACCTACTCTGTTGAAGCCTAAACCTCAGAGCAGGTTTCGATTCAGGTGATGGCTCCCTATTCTACAGTCCCAACTTGGCAGATGGTGATGCTTCAGAGTTAAAATAAACAGAACTTGGTTTGAGTTGGATTCAGCCTGTTTAGGAACTGGGTTGATTGAAAGATGGTATGGTTTTTCATCTCAAGTTGCAAGGACCATAAAACTAGGTAATGAAGGGAAAAGCCCAGGTCTATCTTTCCCTAGGAAATCAGAGACATCTTCTAAGCAGATGAAGCCTCTAACAAAAGGGAATTCAAGGAACAAGAGGCTCGTAGACCCTCCCCTCCCCCCTCCCTCAGTCACACGCCCACTGATAAAGGAGAGCATGAGGAAAGAGCATCTGGTTATTTAAGGCTTTCATTTGAGTCCCCACTACGGACTGCACTTCATTACTGATGTGCTGAATCCCTTGAATTCTAGCCAGAGAGAAAATTATTATAGATCAAGAATTTGATGTTCTCTAATTTCTCTGTCAATCTTTATAAAAAAATTAAATGGTTTTATTAAGAAAAATTACTTGGTGGAAACTGGAAAATGCGAAAAGATGCTTTTTGTTTTTAAAAGCCATTGTAGCTCCTGGGCATGGTTTCTCTCTTTTGGTCCATTATATTGAATTTCCTCTGAAAGCTAACTATTTACAGAATGAATCTTGAACAGCAAGTTCTGTTTGGAAAGCTCATAAAATCAAGAGCAAAACTGAAAACGAATGATTGGGCATTGTTTGAGACTTTTAAATACTTACTATAAAAATGATTCTTGTGAGCAACCTCACAGTAATACTACGGTGGGTGGAGAAATTCATTCATCTCAAACATTTCATATTAATGTCCTTGGTCTTACGGAGTAATTGGTTTCAGAAGGAGCTTCAGAGGCAACACCAAGGGCTGTTTCTGAGGGTGTCTCTGCGTATTTGGCACTCACGGCTGTCTACGTGGGAAAGAAAGTTCTCTTTGGGCAGTCACAATTTGGAGATGAAAAAGAGAATTTCAGCTTTTGGAGCCCAAGTCCTCTCAAAGGAGATCACCTCGTTTTCTAAGCAGATTCCCTCTCCACTGCCCTCTAGTCCTTCCTACTTGAAATGAATTCTTCCTAAACTGGACTGTTCTAGAATAATCTGTACGTACTTAAGGGCACCATCTGTGAGCCTCTCTGGTTAAGGACCTACAATAATATGTTGTAAAGTCTTGCACTAGATCATAATTCCTCTCCTTAGAATTCATTCACTATTTCCCGCACAGATGTTCCCTAGCCAACCCCATTTTAAATTACATGGAAATAAGAACCGTATCTTAGTACGCTGCGGTCCACAAGGAGAGAGGATTGGACGTACTTGTGGAATCAACACAGGCTTTCGCCTTTACACATCCTCACCCACCCGCAGTGTGCCCCTCTCACAAGAGAGGTGGAGATCACAAACGCCCTTCTGTAAAAGATAAAACCAAAACTCAGTATTTATATCCTGCCCTAAGTTACAAATTTACACAGAGAGGCAGCCAGTGTAGGTTATGGTGAAGAGCCATGACCCTGGAGCCCAGCGACTTGAACAATTCCTGGTTCAACCATTAACCAGCGTTGTAACCTTAGGCAATTATTAACGTCTGTGTTGCAGCCTCCCCACCCACCTGTAAAATGGGACAACACAAGGTCAGACACCATGTGGGGTTTTTGGTGATGATTCAATACATAAATATATATAGTACATGACACACAACAAATGCAACCTGTTAGCTATAAATAAAAACCATCTTTAAAGTTCTGCTCCTCTATTGGTTTATTTGAAAGATACATCTATGTAATAACTCAGATAAGGAAGCTTTTCTCTCTTCAGTTAGCACTTTAATACTGACAAACACACACACACACTGACACTAAAATACATGATCTCATTTGTGCAAAAGCCAAAGGCTTCAATACTAAAAAACTGAGTTTCCACAAATGATATTTGTGTATACTTGCCTTAATTTGTTGATTCCAGTTGCTAATGACAAGATTTGCTGTCTTTTCAACTTCGTTCTCAAGCTATCGAAGGGAAAAAAAGAAAAAAAAAGTTTTTTTGATGTCTTCTTGTTGCATCACGGGGCTGGCTTCTTAATTTATACAATTAGTATCATGATTAATAGGAATTTAAAAATCCTATAGTGGACACATTCCATGAGAAAAGTAGCCCAGCTCTTTACCTCACATCAAGAATTTCTTCACAGTATTTAGCCCAAATGCATTTGGTAAGATAATTATTTCTAATACCTAACTATGTAAAAACAATATAAATGGATATAAACTGTGTGGAGGAAGACCTTGCATAGTTTGGTGTCACTTCCCGTCCCATCACTTCCTCTTCAGCCTCATTCCACGTGATTCAAACTTTAACACCGTGAGAATTGGTAAAAGTCCTAGAAGTGCTGATTTTACCAGGTATCTCACTGCCCCTAAGTGAGCACTGCTTTAATTTAAAAGAGACTGCATTCTTAGTCATAATTAACTTTTTCTCCTACTTTTAAATAGCCAATGGTGGAGTAATAAAAATGATGAGAATGGATCTAAGGCGACCCCTCAAGATCAGACTTAAGGGCAGAAACTTTCTTCCAAACCCACAGATCAGCCATCTCTCCACCACTCTGAGATCTAGCGACACTGCACATTTTTCAGTTGATTAAACTTGGAATCTGTGGTTTATTGCAATACCATGAATATCATTTTATGCACTATGCCACTTGTGACTATGTATGCGACTGAAAAGTGGAACGAGTTCACTTTAAAAAAATTCTGATCTTAAACCTTTTGTGAGAGAATGCGGCTGGATAATAGGGATGCAGCGGGGTTGGGGGGGTGAAAAGATTGAGCTGGACCAGCAGTAGGGGGTGTCATGACATTAATTACCCACAGCACTGTGGTAAGGACCATAGCACTGTGCCTGATTTGCGTATGTGCTGGGGAGATGCTAGTGATCATCATATTATCATGTGGTACGGAAATATTTTGTAATAATGAAATACACCCTGGTGTTTCATTTGTATTAAGTCGGTTCACAAAGGCAGAAGATTATATTGCTTTCTAGTATTACTGTCAATTTCCCCTTATCCAGGCCCTAAGTAGAGCATCCCATTCTAGCAAAAATACATGGATGTCCACCAATCATCAATTCCATTTCCTGACTCAGTTTCATGAGTTTGTATCAAGTTTTTTTGGTGTCATTTCTCTTCCATCACTGCTTTCACAAATCCCCTCAGCCCAAGGGCTTAGCACCTTTAAGACCTGCTTTATTAGGCTGTGGTCACTTGAAACTCCCCTTAGCTATGCCCCTACCCTTCACAAAGACCTCCTGTTACTGCTCTGAACTTCTCACCTGAACCCGGCCTTGACACAGAAAGTGACCACGACCCCTCCCCTATCAGAGCTAAGCAGCATTTATTAAATACCCCTTTACGTTGCCTGAAAATATATTTTAAAGTGCTTACGGATTGTACGACACACAAGTAAGAAAAATGAGCACAAATGAAACTGTTCTGGAAGGAAAAGTCCAGAGACCAGAGAATGGGCTATACAAGAGGACCGGGTGCCTCAGAAAGAACTGTTCAGTTATTTTGCTTCAACTATAAGGTTGTTTGAGGATTATACCTAGTATTACTTTTACCTCATCCAAAGCTGATAAGTATAGAAAAGTATTTCTTTTTCAAAATTGTGCTTATAATTCTATTTACAAAAGGATTATCTATTCACTGGAAAACAATGTAAATATTTAAAAAGTACAAAAAAAAGGAAAAAATAGCCTCATTCTGCTATCTAGAGATAATTCTTATTAACATTCATGGTTTTTCCTATGCATACATATTTATTTTACAAAATTGAAATCATATTGTTAAATTAAAAAACAGGGTGAGAAAATCTAACACCATATCCCTGTCATTAAATTCTTCTATAATGAGATTTTAATGGTTGCATAATATCCTATTGCTTGAATTTATCATACTTTATTTTTGGATGAAGTTTGTTTTTTCAGTACTATAAACAATGCCTTAACAAAACATCCTTGTACATAATCTTTGGGACGTGTTTATTTTTATAATAAATCCCTGAAACTTAGTGTCACTTTTAGATCACCTTTTATATCTTGAGCCAAAGACAGAAATCTTGCTCAAACAGGGAAGAAAAAGATTTTTTTGACTCACTGATTTTCTCTTCTTTTCATGTACACTTAGGACTTGATGAGTTGGTTTTATTGCTTCCAGCTCAATTGCTTTGCCAAGTTTTCTGGGAACAGAACATAAAAGACACACAAGCAGAGTAGTATTAGGATTTATATCCCCTTCCCAAATTATTTTCTGGGGAAATAAGATGGTGTGTTACAGCACATCTACTCCATGAAAGTTTGGAGCATCTGTAGCACACCCTCGTTAAATATGTACGACTCCCTCTGGGGTTGGGGCAAGGCCGGGGCGGGGGGCAGCACTCACTGATGCAGGTCCGCTGTAGATTTCATGCCCTCCGAGACCCAGGCCCAGGCACTGACGAGACAGCTGGAGGCAAAAAAACAAGGGAGCACAAGTGTGGGTGTCATTTTCCCAGGAGTCTGAGAAATAAAGCATCATGTCTGATTCATTGCATTCAGCGATTGCACTCATATCCCTCGTCTTGTTTCAATTTCTCCATGGGATTAAATTCTGCCAACATATTTATCTGCACTATAGTCATTACATAAACTGCTTTTTTTTTCTCCAGTCATTTTTCATTTCCATTTCCATCTTCCATTTCATGTCTGTAGAAAATGGGAAATGAAGTGGCCGAGGGTGAGAAGGCATTTAGAACAGGCGGGAGCATGCTAGGGGTAAAAGCCCCTTAAAGGCAATCACTGTGGACTCTTCATTTCACAGATGAGTAGATCAAGGCTCAGAGAAGTTAAGTGACAGAGGACTCAGGAGCCCTGGTCACGTCCTGTGTGCTGCTCTTGGGGTTGGGGTCTAGCTTCTGTTCCTTGCTGGCTTTTAGGACAACAGCTCAGATATTTATTGTCTTGTGAGCAAGTAACTCAATCTAACAAAAGGACAGCTCCGCCCTGTCCCTAGCAGCACAAAGGGAATATTAGAAAATGGGACGCTATTTTTCTCCTACACACGGTTGGCCTTCTAAAGTCAGAATAACCCCATTGCCATCAATAAACCTCAGGGACAGAGGCCAGGGTAGACTTTGATGGAGGAGTGTGGGGAGAGAGACAAAAGCAAGATGGTGCAGAGGTTTTGCCTCCAAATGACTTAGGCTGCACCTGGCAGCCAGAGGATGGGAGAACTAGACCAAAGGCTGGCAGATTTTCTGCCAGGCACAAAACCGGGCACAGGAGAGTACCTGCTATATACCTCCAATTCTAGGAAATTCCAGCAAAGATAAAATAATTAAGACTGAAAAAAAATAAAAGCGAATCAGTGTTTCCTGGGGACTGGGCTGGGGGAAAGACTAAACAGGCATGAGGAATTTTTGGTGTGATAAAAATGGGTATGTTTTGATTTTGGTGATGGCTACAAGGTAGATACTTACATCAAAGTTGATTAAACCATGTGCTTTAAACGGCTCCATCTTATTGCATATAAATTAAATCAATAGAGCTGATTTTTCTTAAAGGAACCCAGGCACACTTTTGGGAAGAGACTGACATTTGCCCCTCGGGGGAGCTGGGCGCAGAGCAGGAAGGCAGGGGCGTTGGCCTCAGAGGGGAAACACACTCCCCTTTGTTTCCTGTGTGAACTTGGAAGAAAATCACGTGACTTCTCTTACCCTCACTTAATTGGTGTTTCAGAAGAGGAAAAAATGTGGGTTATTATACAAATACCGAACACAAATCTTGGTATTGATAAAAGTTTAATGCTTCTTATTAAATACTGTTGTCAACCCTACTTAACCAAACATTCTGTTCACGCCAACTCCTTGGGACTAGCACGCTGGACGCTGGAGTTCCAACACAGTAAGACACACCCCCTGCCACTACACCTCTCATCCCTCAGAAGGTAATCAGAATTCAAGTTGTAATGAGCACTCAGGGAGCTTTGGCTCCTGTCAGGTATTAAACACATTTCTTGTATTATTTTATTTAATCCTCATAGTAACTATATGAGATAATTTCCATTTTAATCCACAAAGAGGGAAAATAAACTGTCCTAATTCACCCAGCTGGTAGGTGGTAGAGACCAGATTTAAACCTGGGCAGCCTAAATAACGTCTACTTATCCTCCACCAGCACGCCCTGCTGGCTCCTTCACAGTCCCCCAAAATACCGCACTTAAACCAAGCCCAAAGTCAAGAGCAATTTCAAAGCTGTTATTTGCTGTTACAGGTGATGCCTAAGGAGGAGCAGGAACATACGCTCCAAACGGCTTCCTCTTTGTCTTCCCCTCTTTCTTTTATCATCGAAAGAGACCTTGGCAGTGGCACTGCCATTGGGTGACATCTGCAAGCATTAGTCAAAAATCTCTGTGACAGGTGATCACTAATGGACCATTTTTTTTGAATACCAGTATCTTTCTTCTCTCCCTCAAGAGAAGTATAATTGATTTCATTCTCAACTGAATCAAAAAAAAAAAAAAGTGAGGGGGAGGGTACAGCTCAAGTGGTAGAGCCCATGCTTAGCATGCATGAGGTCCTGGGTTCAATCCCCAGTACCTCCAGTAAAAGAAAGTTAAATAAACCTAACTACCTCCCCCCAAGAAAAACCTAAAAGAAAAAATAAAACAAATTAAAAAAAAGAATAAATTTTAAAAAATGTGAACGTTTTTTCAACACCCAATGTGCTAATCTCTTTACACACATTCTCATTTAATATGCACTCCCCAAACACACACACACACACACACACAGTGGAGCATAGTGTTACTCCATGTAACAGAGGAGGAAACTGAGGCACAGGAAGGCCAGGTTCCTTGTTGAAAGTCATGAATTTGAGATAAAGTGGGATTCACACTTCCTGACTCCAAGACCCTCCGGCTTCACAACCCTGCCTTCCGAGTTAAACAGCTTCTCCAAGGCCTTTTATGAAGATGGGCTAAGGAGTCACTAAGACACAGGACGAACCCAGCTCTGCAACTGATTATCTGTGTGACTGGGCAAGTTTCTAGAATTTTCCAAGCCTGAAGTCCTTGTCTGTAAATAGGGTCATAAAAGGACTTCTCAGGGGTCGTGATGAAGATTACATGCAAACTGTCTACAAAAGCATTTAACACAGCATCTGGCACACAGCGAGTTCCCAAGAACTGGGCGCCATGCTCCTACTGTGGACCTGCCCCATCTGTAAGAGTGAGCTGGAACTGAACACAGGTTGCTTTTTATTCTTTTTAAGAGTGATTCTGCCTTACCTCTTCTATATACTTACTTTTTCTTTGTGCTCTGCAATGCTTTGCTCAGCTTGGTTGCCAGTTTCTGAAGTCCTTTGGCATAGTTAATCTCCAAGTTTGCCCTGTTGGCAATGGGATAGTTGTTAGCTAGGATATCCTGGCCAGAAATCAAGCAAAACCCCACAGACACACACACACACACACACACACACAAGACTCAGGCTGACAATGCAATCAGTGCCTGTGGGAAGAAGAGACGATCTGTTTACTGTAAAGATCCTCTTGTCCTAGGTGCAATCCTTAAGGATAACTAAGAGGATCCCACTAAGGAGAGGGGTTTTACTGTAACCTTCTCATACACTAGTGTATGGGGTGAATGGTGTTCCCCTACAAAAGATGGTTACGTCCTAACCCCTACTGCCTGTGAGTGTGGCCACATTTGGAAATACAGTCTTTGCAAACGATCAAGTTAAGTTGAGGCCACCAGCGGGCTAGAACCCGATATGGATGTGTCCTTATACAAGGAGGAAATCTGGGCACGAGGACACACACAGGGAAAACACCATGTGAAGACAAAGGCGCACAGATTGAATGATGTATCTACGAGCTGAGGAATGCCGAAGGTTAACTGCCAGCAGATCCCCAGAAGCCAGGGGAGAGGCAAGGAAGATTCTCCCTCACGGCACTGGGAAGGAGCCAGCCTGGCTGACATACTGATCTCAGACTTCCAGCCCCCAGGACTGCGAGACAACAGATTTATGTAGTTTAAGCTATGCTAGGACTGTAAGCTACAAAGTTCCCAGTCTGTGGTACCCTGTGATGGCAGTCCTAGCAAATGAATCCGATCGCCTCCCTGCTTATCCCGGGCCATCAGCACTGTCAGATTAGCTCTGGATTACAGTATCTGGCAATACAATACAGTAACAAATTATGATGGAATTGACCAAACAGTAACTTTCTTGGGCCAACACCAGATTTAGAGACTGCCTTTTCAATTACTTTCTATGCAGGACAAGACCCAGTAGGGAATCTGGGCATGTCCTCGGGAAGAAAACTTCGTTCTCTGGGATAGACTGAACCACTCTTATCTTAAACTGGTATTTCCATGTGCCAGTTATAGGCACATACATAGCTAAAAGGAAGATTTATTCTTATTGATCTCATATTTCAATGAAAATAATTAAAATGTAGAAAATTAAGTGCAATTTATGTTTTCCATCTTAATATGAACCAAAGGGTCTTTGTTGCATATTTTTCAGTCTTTTAATTCTACTTTTATTATAAAGCAACTTTAGAATTATGACTTCATTTCACTTGGGGAATGATCCCAGAACTCTCCAGTAATTAACTTAATTCTTGCATATTTTCATACAAATTAGACTCAGTTTTGTAGAAACTGAAAAGACAAACAGGAAAACACAGTTCTCTCTCATAAAATGGAGCCCAGACACCAGGGGCTGTTGACCTATTGCTAAACTTCTGTTCATTTTCCCTTGTTAGGACAGCTGTGCTCCAAGTTATTTTTACCACTTTTTAAAAGAATGAAGACCACTGTAGGATCTATGCTAAGGCTTCGGTACAGAAAAGACCCATTTGGTATCAGATCTTGTTCAAGCATAAGAAAACGTTAAGGCAAAACTTATGGTTCCCAAAGGAAAAAGGGCGAGGAAGGATAAATTGGGAGTTTGGAATTAGCAGATACAAACTACTATATACAGAATAGATAAACAACAAGGTCCCACTGTATAGCACAGGAACAAAATGCAATAGCTTATAATAGCCTATAATGAAGGAGAATGTGAAAAAGAATACATGTATAACTGAATCACTATGCTGTACACCAGAAACTAACAATATTATTAATCAACTATACTTCAATTAAAAAAAGGTTAAGGCAAGTAGTTTTAAAATATGAAGCTGGTAAATAAATATCTCATTGCACTTAGAAATAGATTTCTCTGCTCCAGGAATATGTTCTGACTGATGGAGGGAGAGTGTTGGGCAGCAGCAGCAGCAGCAGCATGGGAGAGACACCACCCTTAATGAACCTGGATGCTCTAGAATTCTAGGAGGCCACCACCGCTCAGTGGGATGGGTTTAGGAGGCAACTTCAAAGGAAGTAGTCAGACCCACCTCAAGGGGTTTTAATGATTATTAAAATGAGGTACTCACCTAAGCCTAGCAGGGCCTTAGAGACTGGGACAATTTTTTTCTTCAAAATAATAAACTTTATTGGAAAGGAAAACTCAAGAAGTATTCATACAGTATAATAACATTCATATAAACTATAAAGAGATATAAAATTGCTGCTTTTGTTTATGAGTGTGTAACAAACATAAGATGTATGAATAGGCATAACATTTACTAAATTCAGGATAGTGATTAGTGCTGGGAAATGTGGAAAGAAATAGGATTAGGAAGAGATACAGTTATTATGTTTGATTTCTTTAAATAATATGAGACTGGGACAATTTTTATTGACCTGCAGGATCTGACCCCTGGCTCCCTCTCTGATTTCCCCTCCTACCAGCCATCCCTTTGCTCACTGTACTACTGCTTAGTGGCCAAATGTCATCCTGCCTCAGGGCCTTTGCACTTGCAGTGGCCGCTGCCAGGTATTCCTTCTGCTATATAACCCCATGGCATTATCCCTCATGTCAATCCCAACAAGTCTTGTTCAAACATCACCACTTCAGAAGCTACCCTACTGAAAAAAGCATCCTTGTCACCATCCTCTTACAGCTTTCTGTCCCAACATTTATCACTTTCTTCATGTAATTTTTTAGTGTTCTTCTATGAACACCCCTACAATGCAGGCTCCATGAGGATCAAGATCTTGTGTTGTTTACCGCTGTATCCCTAGGCCTAGACCAGTGCTTGGCAGGGAATAGGTGCTCAGTATGTATTTCATGAATGGATAAATGAAAGAAGGAATGAATGGACTCCCCATCAGGTCTTAGCTAGAATTTTTAATCAGTTTCTGCTATAAGTCTGTTTTCATCTCACCACTTTTGAAAACCTTAAACTGCTTAACTATTTAAATTTGGTCCCACAAGTTTGAGCTGTGCTTAGCTCTGATGTCAGAGTACGTGGCTTTCTAGCACTCGGCAGAGCTGGACACAGAAACTCTCTCCTAGTCCATGGTTAATCAGAGGGCTCTTCAGGTCTCTCCTTTCCAGTGTGAATGAAAATACTGCAAACCATACCAGTAAACAAAGAATGCTGAAGCCATCAAGTCATCAGCCGCTGCCACCACCCCCCAGTGCAGACAAGCCTGCAGCCCAGCCTCTGCAGCCACTCACAATGGTGCCCTCTGAGGGGACTCACAATAAGAAAGGACAGGATCCTGGCCCTAGAGAGCTAGGTGCTTGTCAAAGGAATGAATTCAATGAGCCCAAAGGTTTGCTTCCTCCCCATACATAGGAAAGCACTAAATTCTTTAACTTGAGATGCCTGGTTTTCTTTAGATAACAAGTAATCTTTTATTGTTCCAACTACCTGGTCTTTGTTGTAAAGCTTCTATATATCCTCCACCCTCCCCTACCTCTTTAGAGCAGTCCCTCAGAGCGATCTGAGAGGCTGTCATTCCGGGCTGAGTCCTCAGAAATGTCCACTGAATAGAACATAACTCTTAACTTTTAGGTTGTGCATTTATTTCAGTCGACAGTTTTGGCGACCACTATGAAAGGACCCACAGCAGACTTCTCTCCTCCACCTGAACTCTACAAGGATCCGGAGCCCGGGTACTAGCAGAGGCCTCTCGGGCCCATCAGCTTCCTCCGGGAGTCCAGATGAATTTGGGTGAGTCTCTCCTGGTTCTCAGATCTCCCGTTATTGGTTGATGATCCTGAGTTTTATTCAGTGGTGTTACACTCCTCTCTGGAGGAATAAAAGACAGGCCCCTCCTCCTGGCCAGCAGTGGCTTTCTCAGGTGACCGAGAAACCTGCAGGAGTGGTGGGAGCGAGACCTCATGTCGTGCAGCTGCCCCTGCAGGGAATCCACTAGCAATTTGATCCTGACAAACTGACCTTAAATGGGGAACATAACTCTCAGAACAAAAGAAAAAGGAACGACAGACTGCCAGCCTCCAACTGATACCCCAGCCAGGTTTATGGACATACAAAACTTACAGCTTCAATTGAGAATTAAAGAAAATCTCACCCTAAAAATAACTAAGCCAGGACTCTTTTATTGCGTAGGCAGTTATATTAAGAAAAAAAAATGCCAGCTTGATAAACTTTTTTTTCCAGAATTCTGACCTAACAAAAACAAAAGCCCTTTTAGGGGGAACTTGCATTTCTCTTCCTGTGTCCTTGAAATGTAAATGTTTTGTCCTTCTCTGGGCGTTTTATGTGTATGTGTTTATGTATGTGTTTAAAAAAAAAATACTTGGTCTCTGCCATCCAAAAGGTACAAGTATGATGTACATATGTCGGCCAAGCAAACAGACTGGGATTCTAAACAATCCTTTGATTGTACCAATTCTCAGGCATTTTGCCATCTCAACTTTTGCTGCATTAGCCTGGACCACAAAGGCCTATACTTTTTGGGGAGTGAATTTTTGAGTTTTATTTTAGGCAGCACCCTCCACTCTTGTGGGGAAGTCTCTGTCTTACTGGTTTAAAATCATTACCAATATATTTCACTGATGGCCAGATGGTGGATCCTTTAAATTGGAGAAACTTCTAAATTGGTAAAACTTGAGAGCTCTCATTATTAACAGCAGTTTTATCGGTATCTGTAAGAACCAATCAAATTTCAAGGTGGAAAAATATACATCTAATGGTTAACCTAAGAACTCCCTTAGTTTAAAACAACAAAAAACTGGTTTGAAAAGTTGTGTTTGTGTTTTCCCCTTCCCCTCGATGGGTTTTAGAGATGCTATTAAAAACATTAGACTAATTAATGTTAATTAGGTTGAGTAACTGGAAAAAGGAAAGGAAAATGTTTAAAAGATTTTTTTCTTAACAAGAAAAAAAAACAGTGAAAAAAAATGCGACAACGAATATATGTATGTTCGCGTATAACTGAAAAATTGTGCTCTACGCTGAATTGACACATTGTAAAATGACTGTAACTCAATAAAAAAAAAGTTTAATAAAAACAAGGAAAAAAGATAAG